CATTCCCCCAGTTAGTAGGTCATGTCTTAATAAAGTGTTTTATTAATCGACGATCTGGTAAAGTAGCCGTTTAATAACTAAATGAAGATCAAAATTTTAAACTTTTGCAGTATATATTTTGAATTTAACAACACTTACGATGTGTGAAACACGAGCTAATATTTTTCTCTTAATTGACAGTTTGGTATGAAAGACAATATTTTAAGGCTATGCTCGTCCAAAGTAACAGAATTATAGTCAATGCTCGCACAAAGTAACTGTTATACAATCTATGCTCGCGTAAATTGACGGTAATATGGCGAGTTATGTGAGCACATATCAAGCAAATTCAATCAAACTATACTGCTACAATTAAATTACCAGTTCAACTGAAAAGACAGACCAATATTAATTAGATGTTATATTCATTTCGAGTAATTTGGAGGACTTAATCAAAGGTTTTACTCATAGGCGCTGTCGTAATATAACCGTTTAATTACAGATTCGTTAAGGTCGTAATTTAAGACATGTACATTTTTTCGAATTTAACACAATTGACGTTGAAAACCCGAACCTTCTTCGGAAAGTGCCTTATCTCAATTGTGCCTGATTCGATGAAATTAACTTTTAATTTTTACGTTAGGTATTTCATTGATTCATTTAACCATTAGACGAAATGTTACATTTCTGAACCAACTTGCTTCTAGCGAAAAAGAAATATATAAATATATATATAAATTGAGAGTTTGGTATAAAACAGAATGTCTTAATCAGTGCCCGCGCAAAGTAACTGTAATGTCATCAATGCTCCTGCAAAGTAACCGTATTATAGGCAATGCCTGCGTGAAATATCTGTAACAAACCTAATTAGATGAGCACATATCCGTGTAAATTTAATCAAACAATAATTGTACAATTAAATTACCCATTTAACTTAAAAAAAGATACGTACTCTCGTAAGATAGCCGTTTAATAACGAAATCAATGTCATTATTTAAAAATGTTTGAGTATTTTGAATTTAATACAACTGAAGTTTGAAATTCCGAACCTTCTGCCAAAAATTTGTCTCAGCTTGTGCATAATCGAGGAAATAAAATTTAAATTATAGATTAAATATATGTATCATGGATTCATGATTACGTGTTAGCCTAATGAGACTAATGACACTATGAGCCGGTTTACAGAAGCTCAATTAAATATCTGATGGTGATTAAATTTTAAACGCGCCATTAAAGTGATGCGCCAATCAGATATCGCTAAACGCCTTATTAAATGCGTGATTTATGACTTAATGTCAGTAAATTTATTTATAAATGATAAATCTTAGATTTTAAAAGCAATTAGTTTGTAGCGTAGAAAAAACATTAAAATTTTTTTATTGATTGATAGTTTGGTATGAAACAGAATGTTACATATAATTCAGTGCCGCCCCAAAGTTGCTGTAATTTACTCAATATACTCAATACCCGGCCACAGTAATCGTAATATTGTCAGTGTTCGATTAAAATAACCGTAATGTCTTTAATGCCCGAGCAAAGTAACACTAATATAATGAATGTGCGCTCAAAATAACCAATATAGTTAATGCTCACGCAAAGTAACCGTAATATAGTCAATGCCCGAGCAAAGTAACCATAATATAGTCAGTGCCCGCCTAAAATAACGGTAACATTAGATAATTAGACGAGCATATGTATGTGCAAATTTACTGAAATTATAATGGACAATTAAATTACCATTCAACTAAAAAAAGATATTTACAGTGGTAACATGTCTGTGGTAAAATATGTCTTGGCTAAATATTGTGATCAGTGTTCTCGTAAAGTGACTACATAATAACAAACCGAAATTCATGAATTGCACATTATTTGAAGAAGTTAGCATAATTAAAATTTGAAATCTATAAATTTGTATGTTGACTGTCAATTATGCAGTCGAAATTAAAACTAAACTTACCATTTGTAAAATTAGCTTATATTTCAGAACACAATTATTTGAAACAGTACGAAATTTTGTTTTCATTTCAGAAAAAACAACTGTTTTGTTTTCTTACAATTTTCTGGATGAAATTACTGTAAATAGATTTTTAATTACTTTTCTCCGCAAACATTTTATTTAATTTAAAATAAAAGTAAATGAAAATGTTATAACAATGCAATGAATAAAACTATAAATATAACCCGCTATAAAAACAAAACTTCGTTCTTTAACACCTGTTTGTGGTCATAAATTTTAGTTATGAACGAAAAATTTGTACATGACATTTAATCTTAAAATGCATTTTAGGCGAGCGTAACTTTTTTCATCTAAAAATGACATATCCTTTATGTAAACGCCGAATAAAACACTGACTATTAAACAATTCGTAATGTTGACTCGTATGCAACTAACTAAACGATGAACTAAAGCGCCACACGTAAGTGTGGCCGTAATGTGAACACGACAGCAAATCATTTAATGCTCCAAAGCTACACCGAGCGACATCTGTTGGGCTTTTCTATGCTCGTCTAAATATACACTTCGTCGTAACACGCTGTGCTTTTTACCGTGTCACGCGGTCTTTTATCAGAGATCGGTTTGCTCACATTTCATAGCAATATTATGACCATTTCTTCGATAAACATACCTACACAATAATATTAAATAGTAGGTATTTAACTTCGTCATATTTTTTAAATTAATGGATTATTCAGGAATTTGTTGCCCAAATTCTCCACGCTATTAATTTTGATTTAGTTTGTAGGTTTGCGGATTTTTCGGGAAATTGGCGCCTAGATTTTTACAACACAAAAATTGAGATGAGATTAGTTATTTACTGCATTAATTTTTGTGTGTATTCTGTTTTGTTGCCTGGAAATAGTTAATGATCTTATACGCTTATTATAACTACATATTAGAAGTTCTATGTGTATACTTTGACCAGAACTCTTATGCGGAGTCTGCCTTAGGCGTCTTTTGAGTTCCACTAATTTTTATGAGGGCTTAACTAAAGACCCTTGTAAACTTATCGAGACCTCTTCCCAATGCAGTTTCAGCTCTCCATTCCCAAGGAAAAGGACACACATCCAAATAAATAATTTTCGTGATGACTGAAATTGTGACAAAGTTCCAACAGCGGCAGAGGATAAGGGTAGGTTAATAGACAAACAACGCCAATGTGGACGCTAGCGACAGATACACGACTACACACCAAGAAAAACCCGTTCCCAGAAGCAGTTCCTTTCTTCTTAATAGATAATTCCTTTTTCCAACAAGTAAAGATCCTTCCAAGTTATATCTTGCAGTCGTCATTCTATTCTTTAATCTAGATTTTGAATAAAATTCGAAGTGAGAATTGTTAGCATGAATTTCCTGGACACAGCTGAAAATAGAAAAAGAAACTGGGGTGGCAGGTAATCCGAATGATTTCCGATTGGTCGAAATTGTAGGTACAATATGTTAGGACAGTTTAATTTTAAGATTATTATTATTTTATGATTATTATTTATAGGACGTTGGGCATTAAGTTGACTTGGAGACTGGCAATATCGAACAGAAGGAATTTAGTGTACAGAAAATGTAAGAGTGGATCGTGTAAGCCCTTCGAGACCGTAAAGGACTTCGAATTAAAATGCATCCCTTGTTTGATCACAGGACGTGACGTAAAATTATTAAACAAACCTTTATTGAAAAATACGGTTCAATGTAAATGCAAAATCAATGGTGGGGGACACCTGAACTATCTGTACACACATTACATCAGGCGCAAGATGTTTGATTATGGTTTACAACCTTTACATCCTGACGAATTCGCGATATCATATCTCTAAACTTTCATAAACCAAATAATGTGGCAAGAACATTATTTTCATTGTGCTGGAAACTATTCAAAGTCGCTTGGTTGCCGAAATTGGCGCCCAGCTAGAATTATGTGCATGGGCATATTAGACACATGTATGCATTACTGCGTGTTTTGTCATATCCCATTTATTGGAATTCTTTTTTCTGAACTAAAACTGATGAAATATTAAACACAAACATTATCAGTTCCTTAGCATAAGACAACATATCTAACATACCTACACATTTCTAAATTTCTCAGTCCGCGTATACAGGGTGTTATATATATACATTACTTTTGAGTTCCTGTATATTTCTAGGAGATAAGTATATTTTATGTTGAAGATTTATAGTCGCTTTTAGATGGAGCTGAAAAATAAAAAAAATACTTATCTTTCTACTATATTAAATACAATAGTTGCAAGACTTGAACATTAATTAATAATAATAACAATAATAATAATACGCGGATAAATGATCGGTAGTTACGCTAGATTCTTCGGGATGCGGGTAAGATTGGACAATAATAGCAGACGAATTTGTATGCTGTAATTCTAAGATCTCAAAAGTTTTTTATCAATCTAATCAATACATATTATTACAGTGACAACGTTCCTTTTGTATACAATAAAATTTTATGATAGTTTAAGGCAGTTAACGTCACAGCGGTTCATACCCACCACAAATTGCAATTTTAAAATCGGACAAGTATAGTAGAAGACTAGTAATCTGAGCGGTTCTTAGCTACCCTTCTTCTGGTAGAACAATAGCGGCGCACCCCAAGCCGGTGGGACACTCAGTGGGTGAACAGCTTAGCCGACCCCTCGTAATGACATTGTAAAATTTTATTGGATATAAATGGAACGTTTTTGTATATTTGGTCTTAGTATCCGTAATGACAGAAGTCTTGCCCAAATGCTGTTTTTTTCCCGTCAGTGGTGGGTTTTATGCAATGGAGTGATAACCTCTTCAGCTCTTTCTTCTCCCTTATATAAGGAGGTCTGAACCATTTCGAATAAAAGAACCTGCACGTGGGCACATCTTGCGCTGATGTATAGTTGCATCAAAGTTAAACATGTCATATATACATATCATGTGTTTGTGAGTTTATAATCGTACTAACAACTAGTGCCCTTTATTATCACTTGTTTGTTAATTGTGCAATCAGTTTAAACACTGCACAAAAGGAAATTATTTTTATCTTATCTGTGTAGTAGGTTCGGAGGTGTAGCTCAATAGTAACAAAGTACTGCGACAATGTCTTTGATCGAATACGTTCTGATAGTTCTAATAATAGTGAATATAGATGCTCAGAAACTCGGCGAGCAAAAAATACGTAAGTTAAACTAATTACAAGACGACACTTATACCGTTTTGTTATAGTTATTTTGTAAATACATTCCCAATTACGTCCCCTCTCTATACGTTACACTTTTGTTTCAGAATCATATGCGTCATGTAGATCTGATAAAGACTGCAAACCTAATGCTTTCTGTTTTGATAACGACGATGAGATAGATGGAAAGTGTAAATGTGAAAAAGGATATGAATTAATTAGAAATGCGACGTTTTATGAATGCTTGCTAGGTAGGAAAAAAAATCAGTCATTATTCATTAATATTTCATAACCACACAACATTAAATATTATTATATTGTTGTATCTATACGTTACACGAATTCATACAAGGTGACTTATTAATTATTGTCTATAGTACGTGTAAAATCGGAAACTAAAATAAATTAAAAAAAGTTTTATGAAATAAGTAAACAAAGAAATGTAGGAAAAAAGTATTTTTATAAGAATCTTAAAATAATAATCAATCAAAATGAAATCATTAGTAATTTTTATTTTTAAGATGTGTTTGTTTTATATATTTTTAATCTCCTGTTGTGTAACAGTGGCTAACTCCTTCCTTGCATTTAATGTTTTCATATATTTTTTTTGCAGCACATAAAATAGGGGAGGCCTGTGAAAAAGATATACAGTGCCAAATTACTGCCGGAGACTTGGCCTTTTGCGATAAATATAAATTATGTACTTGTAATGATACATCCCACGCATATGAAGGAAAATGTGTACATAAAGCTAGTAAGTATATATTTGACTTTATTAGACGATAAACAAAAGCAACAGGTTTTTATCCACACCCAAATGAAATATACATATGTACCTATTGTAATACAGCCTGTTATTGAAAGGTACGTACAAAATTAAATCGGCAATTGGTCTCGAAGTATGGGGATGGGTGCTAAAAGTTAAAAAAGGTTCAGGTAAAAGTGTTCTCCTTTTAGAGATAAAAATTATTAAAATGTATGTCCAAATTCGTTGTACGCCTCTGATAAAAAGATCATCTTTCGTTTCTATAGCAACATTTAGTCTTGACAAAAGTTTTATTGTTACAGTTACTAGGATTTACTAAAATAAATTAATGTTACCTATTTATCCTTCAATAGCGCCAAAAAAGGTTGGATAAGGGTTAATTTTCCCCTTATAATTTTGACAACACAAAATAAGTTTTTCCGACTTCTTAGACTTCGCGAAGAACTGTCCATTTTGTTATACGTACCTTTCAATAACACCCTGTATAACTGTATTTCTGATGGTGCTATATTGTGCATAATTTACCCCAATAATAATAAATGCATAATTGATGTTACATCTAAGAACTCAAAATGTTCTCATTGTTGATCAGATATGAATCAGACGAATAACACCCAAGAAGAAATAATTTCGCTACAAAAACTTATAGAATAAGGAATAGGATATACATATTTTAGAACTACTTACATAATTGAAAATTTGCAATTTCTGCTGTAATAGGTATTAATTTATCAAGAAGAGTCAAATATGCCGTGCTGCTGTTCAATTTTTATAAAGAATAAGAAATAACACTTTACGGATATAAGGGCCAATTCTGAATCAAACATGTTAAAATTTAACAGGTTTGATTCAGAATTGCCCCTATAGTCTATCAATAATCAGGAATAAAAACAAGTGTTAATACCCCCAACACAAGAACAGTGACCCTCAAAAAGTCTGTATTTGGTTGAGATTTGCTGCGACGGTCGACGCTCTATCCCCACTTTCGTACGAATTGAGTTGATTCTTACACTAACTGTTTTATGAGCTGATGATTTTGAAATTACGTAGCTAAGAAACATCCCGATTAAATCAGCTTTCAAACAAAAAAAAAACGCATTAAAATCGGTTCATCTGTTTGGGAGCTACGATATCCCAGACAGTAAAGTAGACAGACAGACAGAGGCTTCAAAATTATAACATCCCGATTTTTACGTCAGAGGTTCATAATTGACAGGAAATCCTTTACCTCCAATAAATTGTTATAATATAAAATAGATCCACAGAAAAAGCAGAGTTAGAGAAACTTGTAGAAAAACTATTTTCGAAGAAGACGAGATAGGCATATTTTGACTTTAGTATGCAAGTGAAATTGAAGAAAGAAAGAAATTGACTTTCTACAACAGTTCGGAATGAGAAGTAACAAGAAAGTAACAAAGAAGTTCGGCTACATTGCATTAATTTACGTATAAAATTATCGACAAAGTTTGGAGAAGGTTCTAGAATATTCTCTTGAGAAGGGCATTACTTTTGTAAATTGGGATAGTTCACAATGGGTCATAGAAGGGGGAAGGACAGAACCTTTCTAAGCTATTTTATAATTGTACATTATATAAATTTGTGTTTTTCGCTGCGAAAACCACAAATTAGAATCTAATAAGAATCTATTGATGAGAGAATTTCAGAAATTTTAATTTGGACCATTTTGATAACACGGAACCGTCCATTTTCAAGAAGAAAGTAAATATAAAACGCATCGTACAATCAAGATTTCGGAAGGAAGAGTTGGAAACTATAAGAAATATGTACATGAATTAAATCGATTACTGGAGAAGAACGTAATTCAACAAGATCCCCTTTAGAAATGAAAGTATATAAGAATATTGTTGGTGCTGTGTGTCGGTAGAAACGAGAAACTATCGTTGAAGGACAACTTGTGAATTAAACACATTCCAGAAAAGTGAATATTTTACAAGAGTTTGCAGTTAAGAAAAACTAATTTGATTGTGGATCCGAGTAGAAGAATTTTCTGTGTTTATAGGAACGTAATTACTAGGAGTTCTAAAAGATGCTAGAGCTGTACAATAATAAAATTTCTAGAGGTTGGAGACAAGCATGACAAAATGATCTCAATTATGTTTAGAAGGCCTCACCAGAAATTCTTGACAATAAGATATTGAATTGTTCTATACGTATATATTGTTCTAGTCAAAATGTATTATCTATAACCCTCTTTCGGAGGGTTTTACAGCGAACGGCAGCTCTTTAGCCGGGGCGGGTCGCGGTTCGGAGAGTTCTTATTATTTTTTTTGTATTGGGCGCCACGTAGCTTCCTGTTGGGGTAGTTTACTCCGCTACGTCGAGTAAACAGTCGAGAAGAATCAAGCCACAAGAAAACACAGGAAAAAAAAACTAAAAATATATTCAACGGATAATAAAATTGACAAGTGTTGATTAAATGAAATTCTTCTAATATTTCACAAAAAAAAATACCATTAACGTCCAGAAGGGACTATCACTGAAATATATTAACGTAATATATCAGAAAATGAAATGTATTCATGTGTCCTCGTACAAACTATCTTGCGATATGATAAATTAAAATACAAAAAAACTTCCAAGAATTTCGATAAAGATAGCTGTGACCGGGCTACTAAATGGAAAATTAGAACTATAAGGCGTTAGAGTGGACTTAGCTCGTAACCGTAGTTATCAGCAGCTCCTCTTCGTCTGGATTGGGATTGATAAAGAAACAGCGGCGTCACAGACCTCTGGATCCGAAGAAAAACTTCAAGGTTAGCGGCGGCTCCGCAGGAACAACAGCGAAAATCAAAGTCGTCGGTTCGATATGGTCTCTTCAAGGGAACAACAGGGACGACAATAAGCTACTCACTGCAACGGCATCACGATAAGCTTGGTTCTTCCAGGAACTCTTCACTTGGGTGCGGTGATAAAAAAACGAACGATAAAATTCCTCTTTTCTGTGGTGGACGATACGAAAACGGCTCAACTAAACCTCTTGCTTCGAACAAAACGATAAAAATCTCTATCTTGAGTACTTCCTCTTCGTCCTTCCACTTCCTTCCTTCAGAAACTCCACCAAAATCTTCTCGAAAACTTCTTTTCTCCTCTTCGGCTACGTCCTAGCACTTCCTTCTTCCAGGATCTTCGCCAAAAACGCCTCACGAGAACCTCTCTCTTCCCCTATCAGGTCGATACTCTCTCGAATATTCTTTTTCGCGGGGTGGGAGTACCAGCGCATTAGCAGTGCCACGACGTCGTTTGACACTCCCCATAGGCAACCATGATGTCTTAGATGTCGGCACGTAAAATATTGCATCCCCAATAAAACAACCCTTTTTTTTAAAGAAGGGATGAAACAAAACAATTGGAACGTTTATCTCTTCAACAAAATTGAAACGTTACACTACCCCTCGCCAACAAAAAATTGATAACGCGAGGTGTCAATTTTTGTTAGCATAATGACGCTATGGCAGTAACAAGGACGGTATCTGCGCGTACCAGACGCCTTACTAAAAAGGGACATAATCGGTGTGGGTCAAATTCGAGTGAAAGTCAAAATCAGATAGGGTCAAATTCATTTTAAGTCTCATGTTGTTACTACCGGGCTAATATTGATATGCGTCATTGTGTATGAGAACGTTGGGGGAATAACAAAAAAATGAAAAATGAACAAAGAAAGAAATAAATATCGAAAAATAGTAAGAATGGCGGAAAATCTATTGGGTTGCTTAAGCCTTTCCACCTATAAAGATTTACATGTTCGAAATATCAGAACCCGACTGGAAATAAGGTTTCAACTGACTGACATGCCAGGCGCCAGCGTCGGTGCCGTTTTCATATTTTAGGTCATAAACTAAAGGTGACCGGACCTTATGAACCGTACATAGAAGGTACCTAGGAGCGAGATGAGCGGTAAAATCTTTTGCGGCGTTTGAAAGAACAAAATTTCTCTTTCAAACTTTCTCTCCGACTTTAAATTGGTGATGACGCCTTCTCAAATTGTAGATCCTAGCATTTTTTTTATAGTTAGCCGTCAGTTTATCCTGGACTTTTCGGTACAAGTCCGGTAACTTGTTAAGCTCAGCTGCAAAAGTTTTTACGTCATCAACGTCGAGATCGAAATTTGCGTTAGGATTTTCTTTATGATCGTAATATTCTCCAGAAACAGGCACTTTCCTACCGAAGTTGAGAAAATTAGGACTGTAACCCGTGACTTCGTGGATTGCTGTTCTTAAAGCATGACCGATACGAGGTATTTGCAGATCCCAATCTTTTTGAGAATCTTTAATAAAACATCTTATTGCCGTTCCGATAGTTCTGTTTACGCGCTCTACCGGATTTGCTTGCGGATGGTACCGGGCGTTGTACCAGATATTTTGAATTTTGTACTGTGCGGCTAGATCTTTAAAAAGTTTACTAGTAAACTGTGTACCGTTATCGCAAATCAAATATTGGGGGACACCAAACATCAAAAAGATTTCGTTTTCCAAAAAGTCCACCACGATTTTCGCGGTTACTTGACGTGCTGGCCTTATCAAAACAAATTTACTGAAATAGTCGGTGGCAACAATTAGATAGGAGTTTCCTTTACGAGAACGTGTATAAGGGCCCATTATGTCAATAGAAACACATTGCCAAGGAAATTTGATTTTTCTCTGGGCACCCATCAAACCCAACCTAAGGTAATTTGGCATCTTTTGCGAAGGACACACTGGACACTTTTTAATATGAAGATAAACGTCGCGCCTCATTTTTGGCCAATAGTAAGACTCAGAAACTTTGTGGACGGTCTTATAAAAACCAAGATGACCGGAAGTAGGGACGTTATGGCTGGCCTCGAGAATTTTTTTCCGGCATGATGACGGTACAACAAGTTTCCAAGGCGATATATTGGTTTGTGGAACTCGTAAGTCTAAGGGACGATAATGATAAAGGTAATTATCCTTAATGGCATAACTGGGAAAATTATCAGGATCGCTTTGTACCTTCTGACGTAGCTCTACGTACCAAGGATCTAGGTCCTTCAGATCTACACCTAAAAGATCTACATTCAGTACTAATGGTGGAGGGACGATAGGGGCGCGCGAGAGAGCATCAGGAACCACGTTAAGCTTCCCTTTCCGGTGGAGCAATTCGAAGTTGTGCTGCGCCAATTTAACTGCCCATCTAGCTAGTTTGCCGGATGGTTCTTTCATGCGGTTCAACCAAAGGAGAGAGTAATGATCTGTTATAACCTTGAAACGGGTTCCCTCTATGTAAGGCCTGAATTTGTCAATGGCGAATATCACGGCAAGACATTCTCTTTCCGTTACACTGTAGTTTCGCTCCGCGCGAGACAGACTCCTACTGGCGAACGCTATCACTTTTTCGTCACCATCTTGAATTTGAGTGAGCACACCACCTAGACCTGTTTCACTAGCATCTGTCTGTATCACAAAAGGGCGAGAAAAATCTGGAGATGTGAGAATGGGTGCTGAAATGAGGGCATTTTTCATATTATGGAATGCTTCTTCTGCGGCGTCATTCCACTCAATGGCTTGCTTCTTGCCTTTGCGTTTTATCAAATCGCTAAGGGGTGCCATGAGAGACGAAAATAAAGGAACAAACCGTCGATACCATGAACACATACCCATGAAACGTTTAATTTCTGTTGTATTTCGTGGTCTAGGATAGTTAACGATTGCTTCTATTTTTTCTGGACTAGTTCTGAGTCCTTGAGCGTCTATCATAAATCCAAGATAATTTAGAGAAGCGCGAAAAAACTGACATTTTTCTATGTTAATCGTGAGTCCTGCGGAATGCAAACGATCATGAACTACTTGTAAAAGTTCAAGGTGTTCCTCAAAAGATGAAGCTGTTATTATCACGTCGTCAAGATAAACAAAGACTTTCGGCTCAAGTTCTGGACCTAAAATATAATCCATTAGCCTTTGTTGGCACTGAGCAGAGTTCGAAAGTCCAAAAGGTAAAACAGTAAATTGAAAGAGGCCACGACCAGGTACTGAAAATGCTGTTTTTTCTTTGGATTCGGGAGTTAGGGGGATTTGCCAGAACGCATGTTTTAGATCAATGGATGACAAATATTTGGTGTCACGCAACATATTCAAAATATGGTCGACTCTAGGGAGTTGGTAAGAATCGAACTTAGTGACGGAATTTAACTTACGACCATCGAAACAAAATCGGTATTCTCCGGTTGATTTCTTTTTCACGAGAAGCACTGGTGAGCACCAACTACTGGTGGATGGTTCAACTACTCCAAGCGATAGCATGTTGTCAAGGAGGCGATTAAGATGTTTCAACATAAACGGGGACATTTGGTATTGTCTCTGGCGGAAAGGTTTCGCGTCACCGGTATCAATATGGTGTGTGATCTTGTTGGTTCTTCCAAGACATCCTTCTGGCGATAATTCTTTATATTGTTCAAGGACTCGTTCAACTTGCAACTTTTCGTCACTAGACAGATTTGATAATGATTCCAAACCATGTCGCCAACTCTTAGAACTACCGGTAGGAGAAGAGATAGTTTGTGTATTGATCTTCTGGACACTCTGATTACTAATACACCAAGAATTATTAGAAAAATTGACAACCAAGCCAAATTCTTTACAGAAATCACTGCCTAATATTAATGAATGACATAAGGTAGGTACTACCAATATAGGGAGAGACCGACATTGCCCATTTAATTTGATAGTCAACTCAACTTTACCAATTATTTTTTGTTTTGTACCATCTGCGACAGTCACTTCAGCTTGCGAAGTTGGACGAATATTGACATTAAAGGTGTGCAACAGATGAATGCCTTCGCTACCCAAGACTGAAGAATTAGCACCACTATCTAGAAGGGCTACTACGGGAAAATCAAAGATTAATACTTCGAGATAAGGTCTGTTATCACAAGGTTTCTCGACGAAAACGGGCGTTATTTTTGGCAACGACTCGGAACTACACGTAAGAGAGCGAGGAACAGAACGAGACGTACAAAAATTATGGACTTTACGCAGCCATGAATCCCATTCTGTGGAAGAAGTGTATTTTAACGGTTGTGCTTTAAGTTCATTAGATAAAATGAATACGTTATAGGCCTTGATTTGTGTGAAAGGAGACGCATGGCGACCAGCTCCGCACGCCTCGTGAGTTAGTTTTTTGAACAGACCGTACAAGATTTCACAGTGCAGCCAGGTTTTCCACAACGGAAACAAAATCGTTTTCGCGTTAATCTGCACTCAGAAAAGGTGTGGTTTGGTTTCTGACAGTTCCAGCAAACTAAATTTGATTTTGACCGGGTTTTTGGAACAGACGAAGATATTTCCCTCACGGATGGAGAAGAACTGGACGCTGTGTCAATATACGCGAGATCAGATTCTAAAAATTTAGATGGACCAGGTGGTGGTTGGTATTTTTTTTGTTGGGCCGAAGCTTCATCTAACTTCCTACACACGATAGCTAAGTTCGCTACAGAGTCAAATTCTATTAAAGCGAGATGACTCGCGTAATGGGGCAATAGGTTGTGCTTAACAATCTTAATTTTGGTTTTTTCAAGTGCCGGGCGCGAGAGTCTACCGAAAAGCGACTCCATAATAGCAATGTAGATATGTATCGGCTCACCTCGACCTTGTGTACGGCTTTTAATTTCCTCCCATAACTTGTCGTCATAATTACTTGGTAAGAAATCTCGTCGAAGTGCAGTGACTACATCCTCCCACGACTTTACTGTATTTTTTATCGACCGATACCATAGGAGAGCATGCCCGCTAAATAAGTCTACCGCGGAAAGAAATACATTTTCTTCGCTGACCCCTCGAGCGGCGGCTAATTCTTTTGCTCGCTCTAAAAATGCATTTAACTGGCTCGGGGTGCCATCGAATTTTAATCCCCATTTATGTATGTCTATCTTCCTAGATTGGGCTTGGGCGATCGCACTCTTCGCGACTGAAACTAAGAGATCCTGCGGATTACTACTTTGGCGTAGGAAAGACGATTCAAATTCATTAGTGGTCTGACCTTCGACCTTATCATATACTATGGCTTCTAATTCTACGCACGTGGCTAAGGACTCATTTTTAAAAGTTGCTACTTCTTCCGGGTTTTCTTCCGGAATAGGCATGCGCCGTACTCGATTAGTTATATGAATGAGACGAGAAACAATACGTAAGAAAGCTGAATCCGATTTCGGGCCCTCAAACTCATCTACATTATTTTTAATTGACTCGAGAGTTCTGTCGATCGCAATTCTTTCTGTTTCGAACGCATATAAAGGGTCGATAAATGTAAGGGCTCTATCCGCGTCTTGCGTCATCATGCGGTGCAAAATTTTACGTTTTTGACTAGCCTCTTTCCTCTCCGATACAATGCCACGGATCCTTAATTCATAATTAAGTTCCTCCTTTAATAGGTGGATGGGTTTCATCACACCCTCCATGATTCAAAGAAAATAATTCAAAAAGTCGAAACAAGGGAAACAACTCGATGAAACAAGTATAAGAAAACAAAAAAATATCACTCCTATTTCCTATTATGCGCAATCGAAATTGTAAATACCCAATGATAAAAATATCTCGATAAAATTCCTTGTGGTTTGGTTCTTCTCTAGGTGACTTAAGCTTGCCCACCGAAACTCAAAAAAATTCAGTCTGGCCCCACGTTCGTGCGTCAATTTTGTATAACCCTCTTTCGGAGGGTTTTACAGCGAACGGCAGCTCTTTAGCCGGGGCGGGTCGCGGTTCGGAGAGTTCTTATTATTTTTTTTGTATTGGGCGCCACGTAGCTTCCTGTTGGGGTAGTTTACTCCGCTACGTCGAGTAAACAGTCGAGAAGAATCAAGCCACAAGAAAACACAGGAAAAAAAAACTAAAAATATATTCAACGGATAATAAAATTGACAAGTGTTGATTAAATGAAATTCTTCTAATATTTCACAAAAAAAAATACCATTAACGTCCAGAAGGGACTATCACTGAAATATTTTAACGTAATATATCAGAAAATGAAATGTATTCATGTGTCCTCGTACAAACTATCTTGCGATATGATAAATTAAAATACAAAAAAACTTCCAAGAATTTCGATAAAGATAGCTGTGACCGGGCTACTAAATGGAAAATTAGAACTATAAGGCGTTAGAGTGGACTTAGCTCGTAACCGTAGTTATCAGCAGCTCCTCTTCGTCTGGATTGGGATTGATAAAGAAACAGCGGCGTCACAGACCTCTGGATCCGAAGAAAAACTTCAAGGTTAGCGGCGGCTCCGCAGGAACAACAGCGAAAATCAAAGTCGTCGGTTCGATATGGTCTCTTCAAGGGAACAACAGGGACGACAATAAGCTACTCACTGCAACGGCATCACGATAAGCTTGGTTCTTCCAGGAACTCTTCACTTGGGTGCGGTGATAAAAAAACGAACGATAAAATTCCTCTTTTCTGTGGTGGACGATACGAAAACGGCTCAACTAAACCTCTTGCTTCGAACAAAACGATAAAAATCTCTATCTTGAGTACTTCCTCTTCGTCCTTCCACTTCCTTCCTTCAGAAACTCCACCAAAATCTTCTCGAAAACTTCTTTTCTCCTCTTCGGCTACGTCCTAGCACTTCCTTCTTCCAGGATCTTCGCCAAAAACGCCTCACGAGAACCTCTCTCTTCCCCTATCAGGTCGATACTCTCTCGAATATTCTTTTTCGCGGGGTGGGAGTACCAGCGCATTAGCAGTGCCACGACGTCGTTTGACACTCCCCATAGGCAACCATGATGTCTTAGATGTCGGCACGTAAAATATTGCATCCCCAATAAAACAACCCTTTTTTTTAAAGAAGGGATGAAACAAAACAATTGGAACGTTTATCTCTTCAACAAAATTGAAACGTTACATATCAATAAATATTAATTTAATTATATATTCTATTTTTCAATAGAAATTGGTGAAATATGTATAGGAGATGGGAACTGCTACCTAGAAAATGGCACACCAGATGGAGGTCTTGGTTCCTGTACAGATGGCCGTTGTACATGTGGTCTAAAACAACGACCTTCAGCAGACGGAACTAAATGTCTCAACAGTAGAAAACTTGGTGAACCTTGCGTTACCGACGAAGAATGTATTGTCACAACTCTTAATACTAAATGTTCTGGAAAATGTGTATGTAATACAGCATACACGGAGTCAAGAAATGAATCTACTTGTGTTAAAGGTAAATTATAGACATATTTAAAAACCAAAACCTGTTACACAAATAGTAACTTTAACGTAGAAGAAAGTTTTTGTTTCTGTAGTTATTATTACTTTTCTTATCGTAGCTGCCACACAGTTTGATGAACCGTGCGACTTTGATGGACAGTGTTCAAAATATTTAATAGAAAGCATTTGCAATGATCGCAAATGTGGATGTGAAACGGGTTTTCATAGTTATTCTCTTCGATGTGTAAAGACGAAATTACCAGGAGAACCCTGCGAAGAAGATGCAGAATGTTTGTATGAAAAGAAATTATATGAAAATGTTAAATGTCAGAATAGGGTCTGTAAATGTTTGTATGGAACTGGAAATGACGGATCTTGTAGTATTGAAAAGACAGATAATAGCTCCGCCATTCAACTTACATATAATCTAGTTTATATCGAAATGTTATTTATTTTGTTACATGTAACGCTGATAGAGTACTAATTTATAAAGAAATTCTTTTAACATAAATTTTTTATATTGATCTAAATTAACTGGTTTTGAATTCCTTGCCAATGTTGCCTTACGACAATGTATTATGTATTTTACTTTTTACGTCTACTGTTTTGATTATTATTGTTATTATCAGTGTTACTAAGATCTGAAAAAAAGGAAACTTGTGTAATTTATTAAAAAGTTTGTATTCGATAAACAAATTTGACCTGTTCGTAAAACCATCTCTTTTGAAAAAACAGGAACTGTAGCTTACAACTAGACAAAAGGAGCAGATATCTATCTGAGAGTTATTACTCTAATCAGTCGTTGCACCATAGTGTTTGATCGTAGTATGTGTTGTAAAAATAAGAGGTAAGTGCAACATCTCTGAATTTGCATGTTTTTTTGATAATTTGAAAATGTGGTGTTTTGGGTTATCGTCTTGGTTTTTGCAAAGTTTGAAGTTCTGGGAGAACTGTAAAAATAAGAGAAGAGTCTCGTCTTGGTAGACGTGTTCGTCGTGTTGGAGAGTCATCGGGGTGTGTCGGTCTGGGTCGTACGGTCGTTGGTCGTATCCTGACGGATGTCGAGAAGTTATGTCGGGAGCGGAGACGTCAGCATTCTCGCAGTGAAATCAGCGTTTGCTCGGAAAGTCGGGACATAGAGCGGTAGGTGAGTGTTTGAATTTGGTACGATTCGAGGCGCCATCTTCCTCCTTGACAGATACCACCAGACAAAGCGACGGTCTGCCTCTTCACATAACAGCGCACACCGTGACTCTAACTATGCCATGCATTTCCACTACTTCCCCTCGAGTCACTAAAAGCTCGTCCAAAACTACTTTTAGAAACAAAACAGTTCTTGCACACTAATCGCACAGTTCCTTAACAAACCATAACTAATTTTGGAAACAAAACGGTACACCGTTATAACTGTTTTGAGTCTTCCCTTGTTCCGGGTCTCATTATTCGGGACAGAGCCTATCACGACCCTTAGCCTAGCATTCGAAGGTATTTGTATACTTTGACCAGAACTCTTGTGCAGAGTCTGCCTCGGGCGTCTATTGACTTTCACAAATTTTTATGAGGGCTTAAGTAAAGACCCTTGTAAACTTGCCGCAGTCGAGATGGCTGGGAGGGAGTTTGTCGAGATAGACCGTAATGAAAATTTTCCTGCCATCGGTATTACTCAAGACAGAGGTCGACAAGTTTACAACAGTGGATGGTTAAACCCTCATAAAAATTAGTGGAAGTTAATAGACGCCTGAGACAGACTCCGCACAAGAGTTTTTGTCGAAATATACTTGGGAGTTCCTATTCACCTTCGCTTTCAATGCTTTTTGGGGCTTCTCCGTCGTTTTCTTTCATCAAATCGTTACTGTGATCACTCGGTCCTGGCTGTCGATTATTTTCCTCTCATGGACCACTCCACCTGTGCGTCCAATTATGCGAATGAACATTGCGTCGCGAATGAACTGTAATCGCCGACGTATTGTCTTTGGGTTCACGCAAGTAGTATATAAGGTATCTCTGCTTTTATCTGCTGTGACGAGCCGTCACTAAATTCGTTCACGAGAAAATTGTAACTAAAAAGACTAATAACAAACCCTCAAAACATAACTCGAAAATTTGCAAATCTTAATTAATTAACACGCATGTTCTAATCGGCATATAGTACCATTCAAATAGATAAACAAAATCAACTATCAATCCCCAAATGCAGGAACAAAATTCGCGTATTCGCAAATTGCGAATAACATTGCGCTTGCCAGACATTGCAAATAACTTGTACAAAATAATACGCCAGAAACATCGCCAATCGCAATTACTTTCATATAAAATTGTATCCAAACTAAAACAGCTGCAAACGAAACCCAGACACATAAACAACCTCAGAAAAAACCGCCCTCTTTAAAAATAGCTACAACAAGCTAACCACATGTAGCGATGACGACATGAAAAGCATGACGCAAGTTGAAAAAACCCGAAAATATACGACACACTAACCAATAAAAAACGCCAGCCGCGGAACCATAATTAAAAGCTAAACCCTATATAACAACGAAATAAAACCTAAAATCCCGTACCGAGTAATACACTAATCATGAAGAAATATAGTCCACTAAAGTCACGGGAGACAAGAATAATGAGTAAAAATCCCTATATAAGCAGTAGCGCCGAAAACGGTAAAAAGAGAAGTTTCCAGTTGCCGCCGAAGGCTCTGTCCAAACCGGTGTCGAGAATTTTTATTAATTTTTGCTGAATTTTGAAGAAATCCGAACTTAGAAGAATTTGCTGAGCCCGAGAGGAAGATAGAAAAATTCTCAATGCTGCAGCTGTGTAAGTCTACCTTTTAGTCATTCTTAATTTATCTTGCTTTCCGTTTTTTCGTCATGTGTTCTCGAGTTCGAATCGTACATGTGTAGCGTTTAATTTATGCGTTTTCTCCGTTACGTTGGGTGTGAACAGTTAGCACCGGCACCGAAAGTAATCTTTAGTGCTTCCATATGTTCCCGTTTGTAGGTGGCACGTTTAGCCTTGCGTCGGTTCTTGATTATTGGGGAGGATTTTTCGATAAATTACCGTTTGCTTTTATGATAATTATTCCAAATTTCTGTAAATTGCCGATTTAACTCTTTTGCTTGCGACATAAATATTTTATATGCGTTTTGGAGAGGATTTTTCTGATTTTTACCATTTGCTTTTATAATAATTATTCCAATATCTCTTTAAATTTGCCGATTTAATTCTTTGCTTGCGACATGAATATTTTATGTACGTTTTTGGGAAGTTCCCGAATTGAAACCTATTAATCTAAATTTCTTGCAGTCGATTATTTTATATTGAATTTTTGCCGTTTAAATATGACTCCGTTCTCTGATTATTTTGCTATAGTATATATTATATTGCTATCTTTCTCACATTATACTTTATTTTAATCGTCTCATTGTGTTTTAGCGCATTTATGATACTAACGTCCCAATGTTTAACTGCATGTATAAATTATGACTGTTTATTTTCACATGTACCTACCTGTCCTGTAACCATCAATTTTTCTCGTGAACGATTGTTGTGCTCGGCATATTTAGCTAATCGATGTATGTGAAAACTTATTTATCTCTCTTTTTACATGTTTATATTCATAAGTTGTCGTAGATTTAAGTGCATGATTTTTACCCGTTATTTTAGTTGTTCTCATGATTTAATTAATATATATATATATAAATGCCCAATCGCAATTTATTTAAATAATTAAGTAATGATACCATTAAGTAGTTAATAGTTTATTTTTTTGGTTATTTATCATGCTCGTAATATTAATGTTGTTTAGAAGGTATCGCATTTAATTATGGATTTACCGAATTAATTTTTAGTCTTTTGCATGCTGATTTTTCTAGGATTAAGTTTATTAATTAAAAATGTGGGTTATGTTCATAGATTTTAAGAGTTTTATTAGTGGAATATAATTGCGTAGCGCTTTAGAAGAATGTTTTGCATGTTGTTTTGTTTTTTCGTGTTATGTGTGTGAATTTATTTTATGTTTTATTTTTCTGTTGATTATTTGCACATTTACTCGATTATTCTTTTGACATGCTTATTATGCTTTCTTTTAATATACGTATAAAAATGTTATATATGTTTAATTATTACCTCTTCCCCTACATGCAGTTTAGCTCTTCCATTTCCAAGGAAATGGGCCTACACCCAAATAAATAATTTTGTTAGTGTCCAAAAGCTCGGCCGCGGTCAAAACTATTTGGGCACGACACTGCATTTAATACCACGCTGCCATTTTTGTCCACAACTTCTACCTCATTCCTCTTGAAAATAACTTGTCGGTTATTTTGCCTATGGACAGCAGATTTGTTCGCAAATCTAGGACAAGTGCCGCGTTTGCGAGCGAAACTGCTTTCTTCGCACCTTTGGGTATTTCCCTGGACCTATGCCTTTAATTTCTGTAGTCGAATTATTCGCCAAATTCAGGGGGCTTCGTTTCTCGTCACTTATTTCGTGAAAACTGCTAACATCGTTACACATCTGTGCAGTCGCGTCACTGTCGAACCCAAATTGTTTGTTGTCCACGGCCGGGAATTTGGACACTAACAATAGTGTATTAAATAGGTATACAGCAAGGTAGTGAAAACAATCATCATAGATCGAACGCAGATTACAGACGAAGAAAGCTGCGGTATTGGAAAGAGCACACGTGGAAAAATTTTTGACAAGGGCTTGCGATGAAAAATATTTGATGATTAAGATAATATCTCTTAACCTTTTAGACATTGTACACAATAAACCTTGAAATATTTTAGGTTGCACTAATAATGGGGGTGTCTGGTGCTGTGAACAGACAAATTTGAAAATCAGTGATGTAGAAGACAGGGGCGCATATTTGCTTATTTCTATACCAGATACCAAAACCGGCATTTTACGAAAATTCACCATTATAGAAGAAGGATTCTCTATCAATTCTGTGGAGATGTGTAGAAAATACATGTCCTTACGTCCAAAGAAGTTATCAAATGACAGATTCTTTTTACGATACACTAATCAAAAATGTACTTCACAACCTGTTGAAATCAACACTTTGTCGAAAGTTCCTTCAAGAGTTGCTTCATTTTTGAATTTCGCAAGCGCAGAAGCTTATAGCGGCCATTGCATGAGGCGCACTTCGACAAGTTTACTGGCTAATAAAGGTGCTGACCTCATAACAATAAAACGACATGGTGGGTGGAGAAGCTCCGCTGTAGCAGAAAGTTATATTGATGGTTCTATATCTAATAAGCTTGATATCGCGAGTAAGATCCAAGGTACCCCTGGTACTAGTCGTTCCTTACAAGAGGAGACATCCATTGTTTCTACAGACAAGCACTATGCGTTCTGAAACTGATGAAAACTACAAGCTTGTTATTAATGGAAACGATGAAACAAAAAAGGAAATGTCTATTAATATAAATATTAATGTTAATATTAATAAATAATAAATAAATAACTATGATTTAAGATTGTATTTTTCATTATTCCACTAGTGGAATG